TTCCTCTTCTCAGGCGCGACATCCAGAAGGATCACATCAGCTGTCTGACCCGAGGCAGCAACAGGACGGGAGAACACGGCATCACTGTGCGGTTTGGTGGTGCAGAGCGCCACCTGAAGGGCTCGGTGTATCATTACACCCCCAACCCAAACATCACCAAGGCTGCTCCGTCCAAAAGCTTTCTCAGGTGCTTTAGTGGAATATAACTGTATGCATCTAGTCCAGTAATGAAGTCAAGTGAAATGCTTTTAATATTATAAAATCCATTTATATTAAATCACCAATAAAATGGATCATCACCCATATTATCTATTTGATGAGCTTAAAAACTTTAGTTTCAGAGTCTAAAGAGAAACACAAGTTTTTCCATATTGAAACAAACCTATAGAAAGCGATAGAAAAGGGACACACGGTTTATAAAACAAACCCTGATCCAAGATTAATACAGTCACCTCACAGCAATCTGCTGGCTGGCCGGGGCCTTTCTGTGTGGAGTTTGCATGTGCTCCCTTTGCCTGCATGGGCTCTCCTCCCACATCTTAGGGATTTTGGTGATTCTAAACTGGCTTTAGGTGAATATGATTGTGAGTAGAGGACTGTAACTCTGTGTTAACCCTGTAATGCACGGTCAGTGTGGACGGGGTGTGCTCTGTCTCTCCTCTCACCCAATGACAGCTGGAGTAGGCTCACCCCAGGCTGGGTTAGCCCCCCAAATTACACTTGTATCAGTGCATGTGTAAGGTATTAAGCAATTCGGTATTAAATATTGCAGTATTGTAAAAGTGACGACAGACATATTAAATTAACACAAATCCACTGAACTTATTTTCTTTCCTACTGCTTTCCCCCACAGTGGAGGCAGAATCATCACAGTTTCTGGTCAGAACCTGGATGTGGTCCAGGAGCCAAAAATGAGGGTTACCCTCAGTCCTCGTGACACTCTCCCTCCCAGGAGGCGGAGAAGTGTGGTTAAGAAGAAAGAAGGAAGCCTGAACCGAGGACAGGATCACCAAGGTCCGCTGAAGAGATGGAGGAGGATTGTTCCAGAGGCGGACTGCCCTGAGGGGACGCTCTGCCGTGTCAAACAGGTGTCTTCATGGGATTGTACAGAAAAAGATTATTTACTGCACTGATTTTGTTTAAAATATGAATCCAAGATTTATCTTCTTTTTCACTTCCCCCGTGCTCTCTTCCAGTACGAGTCTCGCTGCACGGTGAACAGCTCCTCCCTCATCTTGTGCCCGACCCCGGCCGTGGGCCCAGAGGCCATTAATGCAAGGGTCAAAGTTCACTTCCTGTTGGACAGCCTTCATTTTGACTTCAACACCGTGGGTAAGGAAGCCTTTAGGTATGAGCTCAACCCCACGCTCTACAAGCTGAACCGGAATGATCCAAGCAAGCCGTACCATCACAAACCCGGCAGCATCATCTCTGTCGAGGTGAGTTACGGGAACCTCGAGCTCGAAATAAACTGGCACCACTTTCTTTCTGCTCAAGACTGTGTTAAACAAACAATCTCACAGTGTTGTTGAAGTCAGTCTGAAAAAATAAAATAAAATAAAACGCCAACAATGAATAGAAAACACAACAACATGCCACTTTATGGAAGAAGTAGTTGTTGTGGTTAGATGGACAAAACTCTCTGGTGACAGGTCTGTCATTTCCTGTTTCTGTAATACTTTCAGCAGTGTGGTAAGTTTTAACAGTCAGTTTCTTTAGTAAGGTCCCTACCTGAGAGAAGCAACCTCTCTGCACTGCAGTGAAGTACACTGCACTGCAGGCATGATAAGAGCTGTCTGAATGCTCCAAATATGGAAAGGAAATTGGATAAAACCCATATAAATCCCACATTTAATAATTGCACACTATCAAAGT